AGAGTACAATCCCATCAGTGCCAAGGTGATGCTGGATGCCTCCACGGGGAAAAGTAAAGGTTTTGGTTTTGTCCTCTTTAACACCGAGGAGGAGGGAAAGAGGGCATACAAAAATCTTAACCGAAAGAGCACCAAGGCATGCCGTCACAACTTTAATTTGGTAATTTACCCCTCACAGCACACTGGGAAAGCTGCTGTCTCCCCCTCCAATGCTCTATACATTCGCAACGTTCCTATCACAGTCCCACGGGCGCAGGTGGAGAGGTTTTTGTCAGCGTTTGGCACCCTGACTTACTGCGCAATGCGGGCAGACCATTACGGCAATCCCGTATGGGTTATATACGCCGAGTATGACTGCCTAGATTGCTCCAAGAATGCCCTTCAGAAGTTGCATGGTAATTCAGAACACTTTAATGGGCCTCCGGTGATGGTCAAATATGCTGATAATGATGAGGCCAAACAAGAACGTCGTCGTCGCCGTGAAGAGGGTTTTTTGCTTCCAGTTCCGGGTTTTTCGCGCTCTCGTGGTGTTTCTACAATTACTATTAGTCAATGTTTTTTTTTCTTTTTTTTTTGGATGTACCCTGAGTTTTGAGGCTGTTGCGTTGTGATCTGGGTGCGCGTGTTATGACGAGCTGGTTGTCTTGAACCAACTTCATGTGCGGCCTTGTTAACAGCCTTGATTCGATTGCTACCACTAACGTTGCATCGGGCGATGGCCTTCAGAGACGATGGTGCGTTAGGAGTTATCGCCACTAATCTTTTTCAGCTGTTCTGTTATCGGTTGTTTTCCTTCTCTCCATTTTTGTGTGTGTTTGTGTTGTTGCTGTTATTTTTGCTTATTTTGCGAATCGCCGTGTTTGTCTGTGCTGCTTCCTCTTGTAGAGAACGCGAGTGAGGAGAGGCCCGCAGAAGCTAACAAGAAAAGTAAAAAAAAAAGGTGGGGGGGGGGATTGGAAGGAAGGCTCCCCGGTAAGGAGGCAGAACAAAAACAACACGTGTGGGGAGGTAGTGGTTGATAAAGTGTAAAGAAGGGGAAAAACGAAAGGTGTGTGTTCAACTTGTTGGGTGACCATTATTCTTCTCACTCTTCTGTTGTTTGGATTCGTCTTTAATTGAAATGCAGTAAACAACAAACTTTACAAGGAAAGTAACTGAATAAGACACCTTAGTTATTTTTCCTGGCCAAAACGATATATTTGTTATTGTTGTTATTTTTTTATTTATTTATTTATTTTTTTTTGGGGGGGGGACGGTGGGCAGCAGTTTTTAGGGGGCTGGTCTCACACTTCTTGTTTTGTGGTACGTACGTCACCATTCTCCTTTATTGTTCTTGTTTATTTCTTTTGGATGGCCTCGAGGTTGCCCCCATTCTCCTGATCACCGTGATATTTGCATCATTCGTCCTTAGAGTGGGAACAAAGGAAGTTTATACGAGTGTGTACGGGGAGGAGGTGTGTGACCCGCAATGTGGCATAACGGGGGAACGACACCTTCAGAGGCCGCGTACTACACCTCTGTGATGCATGACGCTTTGACTACGTTAGGCTCTTTGCAGCAGCAGCTTGATAAATTGGATACTCATGAGCATGTGGAAGTCAGGGTTGCGCTTGAGACGAAGATGAATAAAGTTCTGCAGGAGCATCTTCCTCGGTTAATACAGCAGTTATGGCGGGAGATTTGCCTGGTTTTGACACCTGTTGCATCGTCACAGGGCAGAGATTGTATAATGCGGGTGGAACTTTGGGATGAACTGGTCTATCAGTGCGCCCAGCTTTCCTTTTTTAGATCTATTTACCAATTCCTCACTGCAGTGATTTCTGGACGGGTACTGACGAGTGCGTGTGACACTCCCACGAAGGACCACTGTATTAAGTGGCTTATGAAGGAACGAGAGCATATATGGGAATCGGCGGAGGGTAGATATATATGTGAGTGGTTGCGTGGGTTAGTGAAAAACACACTTCCTGCCGCAGTGGATCTTGAGGAAAACGAAGTTGTGCGTCTGCATCAGTTAGCAGAAAGTGTTGCTCTGAGTAAGGATGCCTTATGGGAGCCTTGTTCAGAACGAATACAACAACATTCTTTTGAATTTGGTGCACACCCTACATTTATAGAGACAAATAGAGATGCGATTAACGAGGAACATATACGACAGGAGTATCTGAAGTTTTTACGAGCGGCCTGTACTGATTTGGCGGAAGACCTCCTCTCCCTTGTAAGGCAGAAGGGGTTCTCACAGTCACCTTTCCCTACTGAAACTCATGTGGGGATTGAAACTGTCACGAGTGGAAATGAGGAAAGAACTGGAGCAGTTGATTATTGTAATGGCAGTGGTGGCGTGGGGCCGTTTGCAGCCGCTGCTCTGATAGCGGGTGACGATCGCTGGGCGTTCTTCCGCATCCACCCAAATGACGACCCGACACTCACTGTTGAGGAAGTTGCTGACCAAGTTCGTGCCTTTTATGAGATCTACAATTCCGCCAAGACTCCACTGGCATCTATACTTGCAGAGGGATACGGCGACGATTATGCAGATCTTTTTGATTCCCTGGAGCTCCACTACTTTATTCCTAAGGTGTCAAACGTATCGGTGGAAGAACTGTGTATTGCGCCTGACGCGTTTGACAATCCACCAAAAGAAACAAGCGTTCATGTTCATGGGGAACCGGTAGTAGCAGCGGGCGTTGAAGGTGGTGCCCGTGGCGGTACCTGCCTGTCCATGTAAGGCATGACTAGTTAAGGCTGAGGGAAGTAGAGAGTGGTACAACAAGGCATCGCGTTGTTTTCCAGCATATTGGAGATGGCTCCCAGAAGATGTTTTGTATAATGCACAAGGCCCGGCTTTGCAAAACGTGTGACAAGGTTGTTTTCCCCGTTTTTTTTTGTTTTACTTTTATCACTTTCATGTATTTGATTGTGTGTGTTTGCTTTTTTTTTCCCCCGCCACTCTTTGCTCTCTTGAACATAGGATTGCAGGAAGGACTCCACGAGACACTGGGTAGATGGAGCGTAGTAAACTGGCAACGTACACGTACTCTTATGGCGATGGATTGTTTGACGCCCAAGCCGAACGCCTCTTTGCTGAAATTGACAAACAGTTGAACAAGTGGAACAATAAGTACGGGCCGAAAAAATTGCATGCGACGCTGGAAAACTCTCGGTCCATTGGAAGGAATACCCATGCAGCTGAAGCAACTGTCTGTCCGAATACGAAATGCAAAAGTCTTGGGTGCAATCAACGTGCAGCTGAATCAAGCTCCACCCACACTGACGGCAGTAGCAACAGCAGCTGCAGTTGCGGCAGTAACGATAGTACTTCTAACAATCACTTGACCGAGGAACTGAAACGAGAGATTTCTGTGCTAGGGGCACGTGTCAGCGTCTTGGAGGAACAACTGCGTGCCGCCGATAGCGAGCGCACAGCTTTGATAAAAAGATTGGAATTTACAGAGCAGCAAATGTTGAAGCTTTTTGATGCGCATACGACTCTTCAAAGCGAGTGGGTTACATTTAGGACGCATACGCTGTCATCATCGCCGTGTGATGAGGCGCAGGAAATGATAAGAGGTGGAAATAGTTATCTCGCTGCTGAGCATTTGACGCCAACTCGATATTGCAGTAGTGATACTTGCTTAGGATCATCAACTGTAGCCTCAACGGAGTTGGTGCCCCTCCATGCCGGTACTACAGTGTCAGGCTCCAATGTAAACGGCAAGACGTTAGACGCTGAGCCAGGACCCATGGCGCCTCGACAAAAATCAACTGCACAGAAGCGCAAAATGGTGCTTGAACAATTGGCACAGCGCCTTTATGTTCCCTTACCATCCTGAAGGAAAAAAAAAAGGGAGGCGTTTGCTACAGCCACCACTCCTTACAATGTCGGAGTAGTTAATCTTGTGAGGATGGAGCGTTATTTTGGTATATCACGTCTATCTTTGGTTTTCCTCAAACGCTTCATTGCCTCTTTGCCAAGGAGGGAAACAAAAATAAATCGTTGTTATAAATGCGGCGTTCAATATGCCTGCTGTAGCAAAAAAAAAAAAAGACAAAAAACAATACAAAAAAGTTGAGAGGACGTTGCTGGTAGTTCTTTTTCCCCCATTTCTTTCTCTTGTTTTTGGGTTTCTTCTCACAATACAAGTGAACTGGGGTAAGACCATACGACACAAAGTGGATATAACGCACTTTTGTGCGTGCGTGCTTGCGTGCGCCTACTTGCCCCAGGGAAAAAGATGGTGTTGCAAGTGATGCTTCTCGGGAAGTCTGCTCGTTCCCCACTTACTCGGCAGGACCTGTTGACGAAGTTGCGGCGTAGCTCTCCCCGTAGCTATCATGCTACTTGCTCCTACCGCTGGACCGAAGACAGTCTGTTCACCAGCCTCTCTCCATTGCCTCTCTCTGCCGTGAACGGGAGTCAATGTTGCTTCTATGCGTTTAAGGCCGACCTGTTCTGCGGAGGGAATAATGATGATGTCCGGGTAGTCGTCATGCTTCTTATGGATCTCACAGCCGCCGTGGATAACCTCATTGCCACCGCCACCGAGAAAGAAGAAGTAGGTTCACAAGAAACGGATGAAAGTAATGTGCTGCTTATTGAACTCGCAGATGTGTGGGAGCAGTCGGAGGAAGTTCGCCGTGCCTACTTAGAACGCTGGGGAGCGGAGGAACACGATTACCACCATACAATGGTGCGACGGGTGATGCTGTCGGCGGGCCATGTCTACGCTCTACCTCTTTCATTGCGGCCCACCCTTCCTACACAGAGCCAGGGGATAGAACCGCATTTACAGTTTCTTGCAATGGATGCAGGGATGCGAAAGCGGTGTCGTGAGGATGCGGCAACAGAAGCCTTGCATCTATGGGCCAATGAAGTGGAACGAATTATGCGAGAGGAATCCTGTCACCTTACGGTAGCAGCAGTTCCTGCTTCTGTGGCGGAACTTGTGGACGCTCACCCGCAGCTTGTACAGGCGGCACTGCTTCATCACACTGTTCGACAGCCGTTGTCATGCCTTGCAATTGGATCACAGTCATCGCCCACTCGATCGGGAGAAATTGTTTATAGTGTCATACAAGAGTACCGCGTATTGGTGCAGAGCAAACGTTACGTGCGGATGCCTCTTTACATGTCGCGTTATTCCTTTGCTCATTTGTTTTGTGCTAGCCTTCCTCGTTTGCTTGTGGAAAAGCCACTGTCACAAGCACACCCTTTGTCGATGCCAGTGTTCACCGTGGAAGGGAGTAGCGAGGACGTGGAGGCTGATGAGCGAGAACTTCTTCATGGGCTGCAGCTTACTATTGCCCTTCACCGGCTTCGTTGTGAGGTTAAAGGGCAGCATACTTTTGTCATTGAGCAATTCCTGAAGGAACTGCAGTGTAGAAATGAACGTATTGCTACCAGCTGCGGTGAAGCCGATGACGCGTCTTTGCAGCGTCGTCTTGATCGCCTACGGCGAAAAGTAATGCCTGTAGCTAGTATGCGCGGTGGCTCCGTCGATTGGATGCGCTCCTATGCCCAGGAGGCGGCGATAGGCCACAATGTGACGGAGAAGGGAATTGCCCGTTTCGAGGAATCTATGCTTGACAATAGCGAAAGCGGTAGCATATCCGAAAGTGATGATGATGTAGAGAGGGAGGATGGTGCATTCTACAATGAGGATGGCGGGGACACCGTTGGTGTGTCGCAGCAATTGGAGGAGATGGATTGCTTCTTGGAGATGCGGATGCGCCAGGCAGTACTTGGAAGTTGTGAGGTTGAGAAGGCGACGCTGAGTAGAGTGGTAGATAATGTTCTTTTCCTTGAGACGGTGCAAATGCTCGCACAGGATGAGCTATCCCTGAAATAATCGCATCAATTAAAAAAGAGACCCCATATTCTCTAGTTGAGCCGAGTAAAAGAGCAGTTGGTGGAAAAAGTGGACGAATAAACTTTTTGGGGGTGTACTGTAAATTGAAACATTTGTAGCATTTGAAAAGGCAAACTGAATTTACAGAAACCAAATTTTAAGAATAAGCTGCGTTTTTTTTTATATATATATTGTCTTTTTTGTCTATGGGTGGTGTTTTTGACGCAAAATACTCTGGCTGGAGGAGGTATATATACATATATATATGTTTATATATATATATATACATAGTGCGACTACATAAATTTGTCCGAAAGAACCAAAAAGAAAAAAAAACTTGAAAGGGGGAAAAAAGAAGCATAACACAAATGAATGGGAACGGGTTGCAAGCACTTCACATGGACGGGGAGCGTGTGACTTGCGTTGGTGTTTCACCAAGGTACCTGCTTTGGTGCGTCGAGGGTGGTAGGGCAGCAACACTGCACATGTGGGAGTCGCGCGAGGAGCAACCCTTTGCAGTACCGCTGGTGAAGTTGGGTTTTACTCCAACTTTAATCTCCTCCTTGGAAGAGAAAGTTGTCGTGGTAGGTGACAAAGTTGTGGCACTGTTCACGATGGAATGGATGTCTTTTTGTGCTATCGAATTGCACCGAGATGACGAAGAGGAAGATGAGGGAGGAGGAAATCTAAGGGTTAGAGAGGAGTTCACATGTAGTGACATCCCTGCTGGTGTAACACACATTTCGTGGGCCCCGGATGGGACTGCAGCGGCTCTTTCATCACCGCAGCAACTCGTTTTGATGGACTGCCGCGTCAGATACAACGACACAAGTCACAACGTCCACGAATTTTGGCCCTGCTTAATGGTAGACTGCAGAAATTTGTATGGTGACCCTGGCGCTGCCTTTACTGCATTCACTGCGAGTCACCTTTTTCTGTTGTCCACACGGAATCACCTGGTGATGACCCGTTTCAGTGACAATAACAACAGTAGTGGCCATGATGCTTGCTATTATCATGAGCCGCAACTTGAGAGGGATGGTCACATTATCGCGCGAGCCCGCCAGGTTACATCTTTTGCGGTAGGTGGTAGTGAAGAAGGACACCTTGTCGCAGGGTTCTCCGACGGAACGCTGAAGCTGCTGCGTCAGGATTCAATGGAGGTGTTCTTCACCCTTGATGTGACGAAGCAGCTGTACCGCTCGCCAAGTAAGCCACCACCGTCGGACATGGGGGAAAATGCTATGGAGATCTTGAGTGTAGCAGTTGGCCGTCGATACATGGTAGTGGTGCGGGCGGATGCAGTCATATGCTACGATAAGAGGTCGATGGAGTTAATTGAGGAAAAAACGGTGTTTCTTTTTGGCAAGGGGCCGGTAATGTCGACGTGCGCAGGAGATGGGTCATGGTGTGTCTGGACGCCACACAATCAAGAGCTTCTTTACTATACAGCTCCAGTACAGGAGTTTCATGGTGCTGACAACAAGGCAGATATCGTACATGCCCAAGTCCCGCTCCCTTCAAACCTACTTGAGCCACTTCGTTTGCCGTTTCAACAGGAATCACTTGCTGCGTGTACTGGAAAAGGGGCTAACAAAAATAAGGCTCAAAAAAAGCTTCTGGTTGAGAAGCCAGTAACGCACAGTCATGCTATTAAAAGCAGTGGGTATGGAAGTGCTGTACCCTGGAGCGTCCAGCAGCAGCGTGCCAAGCAGGCGCGGGAAAGGGTTCAAAAAGGAGTTCAACATCCTCGTTCAGTCGCCTCAGTTTTAAGGTACAAGGCCTTACCGTTTCCTGGGCATCCTTTTGAGCCTATGACAAAGGCAAACAAGATTCTTTTATCTTCACCTGTTCATCAAGCCATAGTTACGGACGCCGTGTTCTCTGCGAGTGGGTCTGCACTGTTGACAGCTTCTGGTGACACCACCGCAAACTGGTTGAAGTACCCTGTAGAAAGAAACGGAGGGGAGGGTACACTGATGGAGATTCATGCCAGCCCTGTGAATACCATTGATGTCAGTCTATCCCTTAATGCGCCTCTTGTACTAACTGGGTCAGCTGACGGTACAGTGGCAATGTGGAAACCCACAAAACGAGAAGCGCCGTATATTGTGCAAAAAGTTGCCAAGGATGTACGCGTGATTAAGTTTTTCTACATTGACAAATTTATTTGTTACACTGCTGGAAACACAGTATCTTTCTGCCGTTATGCGTTGGATGACGGAGGTGGTGACTTGCATCGTAACCGCAATGAATCTAAAATGGAATCTGTGCTAGAGTTTACCGTTGATTCAGCTCAGTCTGTGGTAGCCATGGATGCCATAAATTATTTCACGTCCAACGTTATGGTTTGGGTAGGATCGAACAAGTCGGTTGGTATCTACGACGTTTCTGTCGGGCAGAGCATTCAGGTCGTGGAGGAGGCTCACCTACGTCCCATCCACCACGTCGCAATGCTAGCCTCCAGCCGATATGCCACACCCAGTACGAATCTTTTACACACATACTTAACAGCTGGTTTGGACTCCACGGTACGACTTTGGGACCTGCGCCAGCGGCGATCCGTGCGACAGTTGGCGCTGCACCGAAACACTGCAGCTCCGGTTGGTGCGACATTGTCCCCTAATGGGGCTGTGGTAGCGGTTGGCAGCGAAACCCAAGACGTAGTTGTCTATGATGTGGGCTCTGGCGCAGTTGTAGATACAATAAATGTGGGTGGTACACCCACCGCTCTCAGTTGGCATCCGTTAGAAAATGTTCTCGCCGTAGGCACAGCCACAGGTACCATAAAACTGATGAGGCAACGCGGAAGATAAAGAATAAGAAATAGCGTCGAAATGTTTACTTAGTTTGTGTGGGGTGAAGTGGCACAGTCTGTACGGAACAGTAGTCTTTGCTACCTTGTTGTTGTTTTCGCCCTTTCTTTTCCTCTCTCTCTCTTCTCCTATACAATATTGTGTCTGCTGTTGTTGTTATTTTGCTTTTTAAATAACGGTTTTGCCGTATTTTGCATTATCACATCTTTGAAAAGGGATGTTTAGGTGATTTATTTGCCGCAAAAATAATACTACTATTAATACAACTAACCATTTTTCCTTCGTGGTCTGCAGTGACTCTCCGCATTCTCGCTGTGTGTGTGTGCGTAGGTGGGTGGGTGGGTGGGTGGGTAGGTAGCAGCCAACTTGCATGAGCATGGATGCCGCTCAAATACAGGCATGCACTATGGACCCTGCAACTCACGGCATAGCTCGACAAAACAAGAGGGCGGCGGCTGGCGTAAAGGTGAGATCCACAAATTCCTTATCACGCAGAAAGAATGCCAAAGGATCTTCCCGTCCGAAGAAGGATTTGCATTGCCCTCAACGTGGAGTGAAACGGACGAGGCTGAAAATTATATTTGATTTTCTGTATTTTTTTATTGTGGAGTGTATTATTCTAAAACCTCTACATGTTATACAAGCGTGGGTAGAGGATTACACATCACGGGCACAACGGGCTCGTACGGAGCGGCGGTTCATTAACATTATGAACTCCACAGAAAGTCTTGATACTTGGCTTACCAATGCAACCTACCTTGACAACCATCGCGGAATTCAGGCGTGGAAAAATACGGTCCCGAACAAGGGGGATTGTGACGCCGAGGGCCTTAACCAGGATGCTTACTGTGCCAAGATACTCGCGAGTTCTGAAAATGAACGAGCCATGTGTGAATTTCTGCGTACACAGCTGCATCGCACGGCGCACGGTATGACAAACCCCTCCAATTTTCGATATTACACTGGTACAATCACCTGCGTGGAGGAATATAATGAGGCTGTCGTGAATCTTATACGGGCGTTTGGGAGGGAACACTCTTATAACAAGTCACCCTTGTCACGATTTACTTCCTCTGAGGAAAGAAGGCGGTGCTCATTTGAGGAAAGTCATTTATTGACTCCCAATTCTACAACGGCTACATTTGCTAACGAATTTGCAGGAGCTGATGAAATTGTTGATTTCGCTCCCTCTGGAGAATCCGATGCTGAGAGGCGTGCCGATGACCCTACATGCAATTATTTGGAATCCAGGGCTGTTCCTTCGCTATACCTTTCGTCTCTACTCAATTGGGCCATGAAACCGCATGCCTTCGCGGAAACGCATCTGACGGATATCCAGAAGCTCGAGGTACTTCAAGACACGCTACAGTCGTATGGGCGCAGTGCTCTCATGCTAAGTGGTGGTTCGACCTTGGGGGTTTCCCACACGGGCGTTGTTCGAGCCCTTTTTGATGCAGGTTTGTTACCTGATATTATTTCAGGCTCTTCTGCTGGATCCCTCATTGCCGCAATTATCTGCTCGATGAAAACCGATCAACTTAGTGAATTATTGACGGACTCGGTGTCGACCGTGCAAAAATTGCAATTTTCCCCTTTTGATCATGGTGAACTATTTACAAAACTAAAGCAACTTTTACGTACTGGAGCTTTCATGGAAGTACGGACACTCATGGAATGCCTCCGCAGCAATTTGGGGGATCTCACCTTTGAAGAAGCATACCGTAGTACGGGCCGCATATTAAACGTGTGTGTGACAAGTGAACAGTACAGTGGTTCTCACATGGATAGGCATATGCTACTGAACTACATGACATCACCAAATGTCGTGCTATGGAGCGCGGTGAGTGCCAGTTGTGCCTTGCCCGGACTGTTCACGGCGGTTCAGCTTATTGAGAAGTTACCTGATGGTACCTTCCGACGCTTTCTTCCAGGGCAACTCTGGTGTGATGGAAGCCTTGCTCGGGATCTTCCGCGGGAGAGTCTCGCTTCCTTGTTTAATGTCAACTATTTTATTGTGAGTCAAGTAAACCCACATATCATACCCTTCCAGCAAAAGCCTGTCTCACCGCTTGTATACAAAGAACGTCGCCCACGAAAAATTCTAAGTTCACTCTGGTATGGGTGTTGTCGAGAAATTCACCGTTGGATTTTGAAGTTGTTTAGCGTTGGACTTCTCTCTAGCACTGGACGGTGGGGACTGCTGTACCTGTTCTTGGCGCAGCGTTATGACGGCGACATCCTCATTCTTCCAATAGGAAATGTTATGCACGCCGTGCCGGACTATTTCAATATTATGGCAAATCCAACTTCTGAGTACATTGCGTTTGTCACAAGCAGAGCACAGCTGCGGACATGGCCGCATCTCAATCAGATCCGCCACTCTACGATGATTGAACGGGCTCTGACACGCGAACTTGGCTTGCTGAGGGAACGCATTAGAGATCACAATAAAACGTTTTCCTGAAACAGCATTCTGTCATTTCCCCTAATCTTTTTTTTTATCTCTTTGTTTTATATTTTCCTTAATGCTTTTTGGACTTTTATTGCCGGGATACCGTCTGGAATTGTTCTGAGTAAATACAAGCGTCTTTGATTTATGTCTATATCCTCTTTCTCTTGGTGTCTGGTTGTCTGGATGTGTGTATGTAAAGCCGGTTGGTTGGGTGGGCGATATATATAATCTCCACTTCTTCACCTCCGCCTTCTCCGCGCTCAGGTGCGGCTCGGGATGTGACGTTGCAAAGAGGGCGAGCAGAGGAGAAACAAAATCGGCGTCTGACATTACAGTTACTGGCGTCGACTACAAAGTTTTTGGCTTGCTGTTTGTGCAGGGTTTTTGTCGGGTGCGTTTTTTTTTGTGCGAATTGTGTCTGTATGGGCCTGTCTTTCCGTCTATTTTGTTTTCCCCCCTCTCCTCCTTATCCTTCCCATGGCTCTCTCTCTCTCTGCTCTCCCTTACCCACACGTGTATGCATGTTTATACGCATAGTTTCTTTCTGTGTCGTCTTGTTCACTGCTGGAGAAACGGCTGCTAATTTAACGCGGCTCGGTATCTCCATCTCGGTGAAAAGCGACGTGTTGGATAGGCAGAGCATTCTAAAGACTAGGCAGTGTGTCCCGTGCGTATTTGCATCATGGAAAACTACACCGTGATGGAAAGGATTGGTGGTGGTACCGAAGGCGTTGTGTTTCGTGTACGACACGAGACAACGAAGAAGGTACTTGCTATGAAGGTGATTCGCTGCGCCGACCACACCAAGGTGAATTCGGCTCTGAAGGAAATTAAAATTCTTTTGCAGCTTCGTCACCCACATGTCGTCTCCTACGTCGATTTCTTTCTTGTGTTCCACAACGACAAGGTACGGCATGATTTTGCCTTGGCAAATAGCGACGAGGAGCAGCACTCCGATTCTACACGAAACCTTCGGTTGTGCAGCACAGGAACTTTAGGTGGTAACGGCAACTCAACTGGTGAAAATAACGTCTTTCCAAGTGTCTCATGTTTTTGTCCCTCGGAAGTTTGCGTCTGTCTAGTGATGGAATTGTGCACCTTTGGCGATATGCAGGGCACAATACGGGAGGCGAGGCGACACTTTGTGGAAGTTGGGTCCCACCCCATCACAGAAGCACGAATTGTCTCGTGGATGGAACAATGCGCTTCAGCGCTTGCCTTTATCCATGAACGAGGTTTTCTGCACCGTGACCTAAAGCCCACCAATATATTTTTTGATAACAACAAGGACATCAAAATTGGGGATTTTGGTCTTGCAGCCACGGTTGGCCTTGGTCGCCAAACCATCGTCGGGACTCCCATGTATCTTGCCCCGGAGCGCATGTTACATCAGGTGTATGATGAAAAAGTAGATGTATGGGGGTTAGGTGTTGTTATATTGGAACTTGTTACCCTGCAGGACCAACCTATTAATAGTCGTGTGTTAGAAAACCCGCTGGTCGTCGAGTCCGTTGTACAGCAGGTAACGTCTATGGGGTTTACAGCTGTACTCGGTGGCCTTTTGCGTGATATGCTGCAACGATTTCCTGAAGGTCGACCCTCACCTGCGGCTATACTGTGCCGTTTGGATGCCATGACAACAACGTCCTCGCCACACTGCAGTATCTCTGTCCCAACTGTCACCGTAGATGTGAGCTGTCCCAAGCCCTCCATGATGGTATGCGGATTATGCGAAGTGGAACCTGCAACGTCGGCCTGCTCAAGTTGTGGTGCCGTCCTCTGTGAAGGATGTGACCGTGCAAGACACAAGCACCACAGTCGTCACGGTCATGAACGGACCTCGTTGCTTCTCTCAGATTATAGTCCAACAACGCGTGCGCATCCTTTGAACGAGGTTGATCCGGACACTGTAGTACCTGTAAAGCGCAAGATGTCTGACAACATGAGTCAGGCATTCTCACGGCCTAGGTTGTCTGTGTTTAATTCCCCAGCAGGCTCTTTTTGTGCGGCATCTACTGAAGGTTCAAGCAATGTCCTTCTTCAAAGTATGAGGAGTACCATACTTCGTGTCCCGCAGGATTATCCCACCATTAAAGCCGCACTGCATGTGGTACAGTCCATGCCACACATCCGAAAAATTGTAGTGGCGGGTAACACTATTCATAACACACCGTTGATTCTAAGCGACAAGTTGCCAGACAATCTGAAACTTATCGGTGAGAACCCCTCTCCAGTCATTGAAGTCGAGGATAACTCATTTGCCATTTACTGTACCTCGGGACGTGGCACCTTGGAAAATTTTATTATTCGCCATGCTGGGAAAAAACCTTCGCTAACGGATTCTTTCTCTGGTCAAAAGCCTTTGAAAAAACCCTCTCGTCCTATTGCCGTCTCCATTGCAGGTGGGGATTGGAAAATTACACAATGCCGAATTTCCTGTTCTGCTGGAAGTGGCATCAGTGTGACTGCTGGTGTGGAGGCTGTTGTGTCGCATTGTACGATTCTTGAAGTCAAGGTGGCGGGAATAATTGTGATGGAGGGAGGCCAGGGGTTGTTTGAAAGGAACACCCTTATCAACTGTGGGTTTGCCGCCTTTTTGTTGAAGAAGAACAGCTCTGCGCGACTGTGTGGGAACCATGTGACGGATGGTGCAGAGACTGGCATATTTTGCCAGGATGCCTCTGGCCTAGTGGAGGATAATTTTATTGCAAACAACGGTGGATGCGGTGTGGTGGCAAAAGGTTTCGATGCCAACATCATCATTCGTGGAAATAGAGTCGTGGCAAATGAACTAGCTGGTTTTTTCTGCTGCAACGGTGCATGTCCGATCATAACAGCGAATGAAATACGACAGAACAAGAGAGCTGGTGTTTTAGTAAAGACGCGAGCCGCTCCAAGAATCACAAAGAACATCATTTGCTCTGGACGGGAGGCGGGCATTTACGTATTTGACGGAGGAGCAGGCTTTATTGAGGAAAATGAGTTGCGGGATAACAGTAACGCGGGGATTCTTGTCACAACTGGTGGTTGCCCACATGTAGTGAAGAACACAATTTGTGGTAGCCTTTACGAAGGGGTCTGGGTGTGTAAAGGGGGCGCTGGGACCTTCGTTGGAAATGACCTTCGTGGCAACGAGAAGGGACCGAGAGACATTGAGAAGGGCTGTTCAGTTTTGTGGACCGGCAACCGCGAATCGTGAGGCAGCAGAGCAGGGAGAACAGGGTTTTTTTTTATTTGTATTTTATTTTAACGCATGAGAGCAGAGTAGCGAATTCTACGCACTTCTAGTAATGTAATGGGAGACCCGTAGGAAAGATGACATAATGAAGTTTAGATGTTGCAATAGATGCATGGCTGAAGCTGAAGCGTTTGATTTATTTCTTAATCCTTTACTCTGTCTTTTTGTTTGTTTGCTTCTTCTGGTTGGGTGAGGCGTCGTTTTTATATGCGGCTGACTTCACTGTGAGAGCATCGTTTCCAATATGTACGGAATATTGGATGGGGACTTTGGTGTCTTCTTGACGTGCACCGTGGGCAGAGCTTTACAGCTTCCTCTGAGAATTAGAGAGGATGCGAGAACAGAAAAGAGAGAGAGAGTAAAAGAGCATACGATACCGTTTTCATTGTTTAACGTGCGATGAGGCGAGCATAAAACACAAGATTCACTTGGGCGGGTGTGATGAATAAAACAAAGCCATATGTCTTTTTTTTTCTTTGCATCTGCACTGCACACGAGCATGCATAAATTGGCAGGCAAAAAAAAAAGAGAACGATGCTAGAGTCACCTTGGCAACTTACATCTTTGTCCCCCCGCCACAGGACCAGCTCTGTTTATAGTATTAGACCCTAGTAGATTTTTTATATGATGATGATGTTTTTTTTTTCATTTTTTTGGTTTGCTTTGGAGAGTGGGTGGTGCTCTTTTATTCGCCTATTTCATTAGGTAGCTTTACTTCATGGAAGCCCACGTTCGCATTTGGTTATGGTTACTTTGTTATTTTGGCATTGTTTTTGTTGGTACGAAATACAAGGTGCAGGAAGGGGCATTGCTTGCATCAAGTCGGCAAATTCACTTGTCTTGTTTACTGCACTGCTTCTGTTTGTTGCTTCTTTGGAGGAGAGAAGATATATAGATATATATTGTGCATTAATGTTTACATTTCTTATGTATAAAGGTGTGGGTGGTCTCTGATTGGTTGGAGATGCGAATTGGTGAGTGCATTGGTGTGTTTGGTTTAATACACGTACATCCTGTTGGGTAACGCAAGGGAATGAAATGGAGGGGGAGTGAGGAGGTGATGTTTGTCGCCACAACTGTGAAACAGCAAGAAGAAATATGTGTTGGCTTGATTTATTTTTTTATTCACGAATGTTTTTTTTTTTTTTTTGCATGTCAGTTTAATCCTCAAGGCTGCATCTCTCTACCTTACTGATGTTGTTGTTTTCTGTGTGTCTTTGTGCCACTCCCTGTATGGAGTTTTCCCAACATTCTTTTAAAGACGCTTGTTTCCTTTTTTTTTTTTTTTTTACTGGCAAAGGCCTATTGATGCACTTGCGTCGTAGGGTTTCAAGCATCTTTAGTCGCGTGAATGACGCTATCACGGTGGTGTCAGGGAGGCGTTCATATTATTCTGGACGTACCGTGTTGCCATGGAGAAGAAACGTCATACTTAGTGTGTTACTCCACCAACGTAGTCTAACGTGTACCAGTTGGATAAGATGGGCATCGACAGAGACAGCTTCGGTGGTGGCAGCGGCGGAGGCGGCGGAAGAAGCAGTTTCTTCTTCTTCGGGCATCTTACTTGACGGTGCTGCTGATTTTATTGATTTGGGTCTTGGCGACAGTGAGACGGGGGACTTAGCTTTGGTGGTGTCGTGGGAGCAGCAGCCTGCACTCGGGGTCGTACGGGCGCCTGAGATTCCTGAGGGACAAGAGTACTCGCGGCTCAACATCCCTCTTACCCACCCGCGTGCTGGTCGAACCGAACCACGGCCTAACAGTCGCAGCATTGTCGCTGCAGATAACACCCTTTGCCTCTCCAACAAACTCAACAAAAACGAGGACAACGGCCAGGACGCCATTGTTCTCGCGGATACGGACAACAAATTTACTGAAGACGGCGACGGCGATGAGGAAGCCCTCCCATACGACGATGAACTTTTTGCTGAGATGTTGCTTAAGATGGAAGTTGAGGGTGCCATTGATGAAGCATGGCAAGACGCCCGCAAGGCGCATATAGAGGACGTGGTGGAGCTTGTGGAAGTTCTTCGTTCACTTAAAGTCCGTGAAATTTGCGCCATAGATGTCTCAGCGAAGACGGGCAATTTTGACTACATGATTGTTGGGACATGTGAAGGTCCACGACACATTCACTTAGCCGCATGGGCGGTTCAGGAAGCGGACTCCCTGAGACGCGTCTCGAAAATTAAGCGTAAACAGACGGATCATACGTGGGAAGTGGTGCCTGTTGGTAGAATCATAGTGAATCTTATGCAAGACACGGTTCGTGAAGAAATGGCACTCGAGCGTAAGTGGGCAGTGACGAAGTGCATGGATCCTCTCTCCGTAGCCAATGCACCAGTGAGTGAGGGAAGACAGGTCAAGGCTCATGGATTGTGGACGCTGACCCTTAATTTGCAGGATTTGGAAGACTTTGAGGTGGATTACTGCAAAGATGTTTTGATGCGACAGTTGTAAGCAGGCAGCTACCGTCTCCTACCTCGGCATTTCTTTGGTAATACACTAAGAAATTCGTCACTGGAGTTGGGGTTATGTGGGTGTCGCAGTGTATTGGTGATGATACACCTTGTGCGATGGATGGTTTCAGTTCAACGCATTTCCTTTGAAAGCAATAAGGAAGAGACAAATGAAAAAAAATATAATAATAATAATAATAAACAAAAACAACCTTGTAAAATTTATTTGTTTATTTTCAAAACGTTTTAATACCAAGTCTGATAATTTATATGTGGTACGCAAAATTATCTACATCCGTATTCGAGTACTCTCCCCTTTTGCTTACCCATCAATCCATTCTCTGAGCCTCTTATTGTAGTTATGGAAAGGAGTGAAAGGCGAATCATTTTCTTTAGTTGCGATTTTTATTGCTGTTGTGGCTTTTTTTTTTGAGGCACGATGTGGCCGGTGTTAGATCACGGTTCCTTGCATGATGGTGCCCCCTTCGAAACAGTAGCGGGTGCCGCGGGACCAAGAAGACCAACGGGTGGCACTCCTCCCCTGAGTAGTATTTGTGAGGAAATTGCTCGCAAGCACCTGAATGTTCGGCGACTGCTTGCGAACGTTCAGCGTGATGAGGGGAAGGCAAGATCGATGCAGGTACGCTTGGCTACACTTCTTAAGGAGAAGAGTAGACGGGAGCAGGAGGTACAGACTGCATTTAGTAACTTGCCCACTTTACATGCTATTACAGATCTTAAACTTCGATTACAGGCTGCTTGTGAGAGTAAACAAGACTCCGCAAATAAAATTAACGATGTGGATGCATACTTCACGCTCATTGCTGCTAATGCGAAAATGAAATGTGATGGCAAAGCAAGGCAAGAACATGAATACATGGGGCTCAAGCGATCTATACGTGTTCTTCAAGGTGAAGTTGCCAATTTGAAGCTTCAGTTGCATGAGTTATCCAGTAATGTGAAGAGGAATGCTGTATGTAGAGACCCCCCCTATTCCAATGAAAAAATGAAGAACAGCAATAAGTGTCTGAGTGCCTCTGCTGGAATTGATAAAATGAAAAGAGAAAAGAGAATGTGGGAGGAGCGGGTACGAGAGGCGGCGGCGACCTGGCGCATGGCAATAACTCGGGAAGCCAAAGTGACCCGTATTTTTGAGTCTTTGAAGAGACGAATGGCAAGTTTGTCGCCGCCGTCAGTAAGTCCGACAAGGACTATTAAACCGAGGAAGAGATTCAACCCAGTCGCGGAAGATGTCGTTGCTGAGGCGTTCATTCCTCCATTGGAATCGGGAAGCTTGCTTGCCGTATCATTGAGTCGTCAGGCCGAAGAACCCGCCACGGAGGCTTGCTCCTGTAGCCAGGCGAAGTGTTCTTTTTTTTGGACCCCGCTAAAAAAGTGCAGTGGTCGGGAAAAAAACAAACTTTTTTTGCCAATGAATGACGGCAAAGGCAACATGTACTCAAAGGAGGAAACATTGAAGCGTCAGGTGGAAGATTTGGAGGTGGAGTATGCACGCGTGAAATGCCGGGTTTCTAAACTGCGAGAGGAAAATAATTGTAGTTGATTTCATTGGGGTGGTTGAAGCGTTATTATTATTATTATTATTTTGAAGGGGGAAGCAGTTGAGAAAGGGGGTTGTCCGTGTGTTTTGCTTTGTCGTTTTTTTTTCTTTCTTTCTTTTTTTCCCAAATACGTTTAAAAAAAAACATTTTGTTTGTTTATGCTGGCTATATGGTTACCAGGCTTCCACAACCTGCTGAATTAATGTTGCTGCACCGGTCACTACTTCTTGTTACCCCTCATTTCTCTTTTTTTGTTGTTGTTGTTTTTTTTGTTTATTGCTCTCTTTCTCTCTTTCTATGTATATGTGTGGGTGTATTTGTTTATCACTCTTTGTTTTTATGCTTCTGTTTTACTTGTGTTTATGCTGTTCTTTGTGATTCATTTTGTACACGCACTCTGAATCCCTCTACATGCATACATTTTTTTTTGTGTGTGTTTGTTCAGTATTACTTTAATAATCTAGTTTTCACCACTGTGGGAGGGAACGAACCGGGGTTTTCTGTATTGCCTGTCACTCTGTGTGTAATACTTGGTTGTACACATGAGTGACCTTTGGGGCATGTTTGTGGATCGCCTGGTGGCGTCAGGATACACACTGGAGGATTTTGTTGACAACGAAGGCTTGCTTCGGCTTGTCGCTGAGGAGTTTTGTGGGTTCACGCCTCAGCAAGTAAGGGAGCTTCAGAAACAGTGGCAGAGTGTGCACCAAGGAGCAACAATTAGGATGATGAAACCGAGAGATGCATCTCATACAGCGGGGCGAGCCTATTCTCAAATGAATGGCAAACCTGCCTTTCAAGGCAGCTTTAGTGTGTATTCCACAAGTACAGTGTTGTCTCGTGCCACCAGATTCTTGTCGAATTTGAGCAAAAATGGGAGTCTACTATCATCCGCGATGGTGACGGAGCTCCCGCTTCCACGCAGACTAACCCAATCTTTTCGTGGACGGCTGGCTTCAATGCATAACCCCACTGGAGAAGTGGAGCTTATGTGGAAACTTTGTAGCCCAAGTACATTAGCCAGCATTAGGGAAGGCCGTTCATTGGGGACTATAGATAACCGGGACAGATTGTGCTCCTGTGGTATTGTTCTCTACCGCGACGACGGAGATGCAGCAGAATTTCAAGAAGACACACCTGTGGAATTGGTACACCAAGGCTGGTGCCTTGTTGCCTTTGATACAGCCATTGGTAAATCGCGTCATCTTGAAGCAGAGGAAATTCAACTAGTGCAGCATTTTTCTATGAAAGAGTGCTTTCACACCCTTAATAGTGACGGCTATGACAGCATTTTGATTACTCCTTGTAATGCCATTGCCATATTCCACCCAGACCAGATTGTCCCACGTTTTATTGTTACTGTCCATGCTTCCAACACCCATCTGTCAAGTTGCCCTTCCATAGCAACTGCAATGGGTCATCACGATATGACATCTTATCAACTGCGAAAAGGTGAAAATCTGTATGACAAGGTGCAACCAAAAGTCGTGGAGGCAATAAGAGGGCTGAATGTAGCAAATGCACCTCATAAACTATCCGCTGACACCTCTTTGGATGCGACTATGTGCCACAAACATCCGGGCAAGGAGGTTGAATTTTGGTGTTCAGAGGAAAAACAGCTGTTATGCAGTCATTGCCTCTTTTATGACGGCTACAGCAGCAACAATTGCGTACTAGTGGCTGAGGCAGCTCGAAAGGAGCTCCAAGACTTGAACGTTGGATGCAAAATGCACGGACTTTTACAAAAGAGATTAATTCTGTTGTTGATCTTTTCCGCTCCGCAGAAGAGGATATAGACCGGTGTGAAAAAGAACGGAAGGAGGAGCTGCGAGAACAGTTTAAACACGTACGTGCAAAGTTGGATGTATTGGAAGCAGAACTTACTGCACAAGTTGAGACTAGGAGTGGGAAACAGCGACAATCCTTGCGAAACTCCTACGCAGAAGTCCAAGCCACCGTGGAACGGGTGAATCAACTTCTTGGTGAAGCCGAATCACCACTTTTAAAGTATAGAGCTGGAGATGTTGACTACAGAACCGCTGTGGCTTTTTTGAAGGTGACACGATCTGTGTTTGAAGACTGGCCCACCGTGGCTATTCCCATGTATTCCGTCGTCACTGGTTGGAACCGAAACATTTTAAAAGAAGTAGCAAGCGTCCTAGAGCTCGTATTTGCTGCCGCTGAGAGCGAGGGACAAGTGGAGTTGCCGGAGGCTGTAGATGTCAATTATCTTAAAAGCTGAGGGGTAGTAGGATAACACCTGTATGTCATTGTGACTTTACGTTCATGGTGTTATTATTATTGTTATTTTAGGTCTGACATTTCCGTTTTCGAGCTACATTCGGATTTTTGCTTTTTCTGCACATGTCTAAGTGCCTTGTTGTATTGGTTTCCTATCTTTAGCCCCACAGCTGTTACTACTATTTTGGCCTACTCTCGGGTTTCTCTTCCGCAGGGATAAACTTATTCTAACGTCAGAACCTCAGTTATGGGAAACCACCCACTCACGAAGCTTTGCTTTACTTGTTACTACTGGCAATCAATGTGTCTTTGAGGATATGTTTAAAAAGGTTCTTCCAACGGGATTCAGTCTTTGATTGACAAACGCTCGAGTGGCAATACGGATTCTTTCCCACTGTCCCAGGTGGAATTTTTGTTGAGACAAAAAAAAAAGAATGAGGGCGGAGCGCGTGCGGAGCATTCCACAAGCCGATAAAACTTTTTCATTGAACTACTGGTGGGTGGGGCAACCACGCTGAATCCCTCACCCTCTGCTAGGACCCCATGACGCTGCTCGCTGCAGGAGTCGGTTTCTTACCGCCCTTTCCCCTTGTTTGAATGCATTCATGAAGTGTTGGGTAACGGATTGTCAACTTCAAGCGGTAGTGGCCAGCGTTGTGAGAAGAATAATTGGGGCATTGGAGAAGTAATGTACGCGCAAGCAGCGTGGTGGAATGTCTCTCTGTTTAAAAAGAAAAAGAAAAAATGAGGGGATGAATAGAAGGATCACTTGTGATTAATAGCTCAGTATGCGAAAATGATAAGGTCGGTTCTGTCTCGCGAGCCTTGGCTTAAAGAACTGTTTGCACGTCTTTTTCTCTGTTTTGAATATCACAACAGGGGATGTGGTATGGGGCGCGTTTTTGGTGACTACATTCCCGTGTGCTGAGAACGGGTGGCCGCAGCACAGGACTGGCGCATCTAATCATTAACTAGGTGAATTTCATTCGGGTGATTTCATAAAAAAAAAAAAGTTACACATTTGATACTTTGGTTGTTGTTGTTTTTTAAGGGAGATACAACGGCCTCGTTTTGGGGATCTGGTGAAGGTGATGTAGTTTAAGGGGCCTTTGTCTTGGCCTGCTAAGGTAACAGTGAAAACTTTTGAAGGGACAGACGATGAGACGGCCCTTTGGAATTTGGGTGATGGTGTTGATTTGTTGTGTAGTTCAGCTTACAAGAGTGGTTGTAGCTGTAAAGGTACGGGGCCCCATTTATTCCCTGCATATAATGTGGAACGTGTTCATGCGGTAACTTGCTGTGACGTGGTGAAGAGACAATGGACGCAACTTCATAGTTTGGAAAGTCGTCATGCCACTTCTTTGGAGGATAATGACGGCTCAGTTGAAGTTCAGCTCCACCATTTTTGGGACGCACCATCGCACATAGGCATCACATGTAGTAAGACTGTATGCGATTTTAGAAAGCGCTCTTTCAGTGATGAGCTCGTCTTTGATTTATTAAGCAAGCAACTTTTTGCGGGCCTTCAAACCACGCGTACGGAGTTGGTACAGAGCGCGTACAGTGTTTTTGTGGATAACCTACTCAATGAGGATGATTTGACTACAGTAATGGAAGAGACGTGTTGTAGAATCCATCAGAAGGGAATTAATTCGTGGTGACCGCCTTTTCAGGATCACAGTGTGCGTGAAGCACAGGAAACTATTTGCCAGTAATGTTGCTTCGCGAAGCAACATCTCTTTTCGGTGATGATGTTTATTACCTTTAGCTAATTATTTTTCAACTCTATCGGTATTTTATCTTGTGAGGCCGTGTTTTGTATTTGATTTATTGTGGGGTGAGGAAAAGCTGTATAATATACTAAGAGAAAAGAAAAAAATATCGAGAGACGTTTACTCACATTTTTGGATGGACCCATGTGTCCTGTATGTATTGTTTTAGTTTTGCTTTGCTGGTTCTGGCGTCCGCCTCGTTGCGACGCTAATGACTGTGCGTTCTTGTACCTCCCTTTTCGTGTCACACTTTGTTTGCTGCTGCTGGCTGCTTATGCTGGTCGGGTTTCTGTTATTCGCCTTGTGGCTTTCTCTGGTTCGACGCTGTCCTGTACTCAACCGCACCCCTTCGGATAAGCAGCAGCACGTGGCGTGATGCTGTAGCTGGTGTTGCTACGCTCTTGCCTGAGCAGGTGGTTACGGCGAGAAGGGACGCAGCTGTCGACGGACGCTCAGAGTATGAGGCTTTTCGGCGCCTCCACGCGGTGAAGAAGAAGTAAATGGGGGTCAAGACGGTGAGCTTTGGGGAACTGGAGAGGAACGGAACACGGGTGTGTGAACCTTCGCGGTCCCGTGAATTGTGCTTCATCGGCGCCGGTTTTTACTGCCAATTGTCATGGAAAGTATGTGCGCTGTGTGGCAGTGAGTGCTCTAGTTAACATGTACCAATAAAGGAGAATGAACGCTTCTCTGTAGCTTTGTATCTCAATGTTCACTTACCCATATGTTTGGCCTTTATTGCTGGCGTCGCATTTCTGCGCCCCGAATGCGTTAACAGCCGCACATGTGGCCATATGCCCTCACCGGCGCTCACTCCTCCCTTTTTATGATTTTTGTGCATTGTGTCCGCCGTTGTCTCTCCCTTTTTCTTTGCTGTGGTAATTCACAGGCGACACAGCAGGACAGTCGCAAGGCAACAGGGTATGGCGGTACGTTGGGGGCGGGGAAGCGGCCGTGCGCGGTTGGGATTGCGGCCCTCTGCTGCGCCGTCGCGCCTTGCTGTTTGCCCCGCACACTGCAGCTTCCAAATCCGCAGTTTCCAAGACCCATG